ATCACACATGTAAACTTGGCCATTAGCGTTAGTGCCATTTATACGTGCACGTTAGCATGTTAAAAGGCATAAATTTCGAGAGGCAAAGTCATCACTGTCAAAAGGTTGGCGCAGATCGATTGTACTTAATCTAAGTGAAGTACCGGCGATATTTAATCATATAAAGGATAAAAAACGAATGTTTTCTTCAACCGTGCGAATTCGCAGACTTTTAAGTCTCATCGCGTTTTCCGTTTGAAATGAATAATTGGAGATGAATAATTGGAGATGCGTGTCGTAATTTGAATTATCGCATTCGTTTATCACTTTTTGAACAACAAGATAAATAAATCTTCTTTCTTATGTAGAGATCGTCTATCTATCGTATCTATTTAAAATGGCTCTCGAGACACATCGCGAAAAAATAATAGGTTCGACTGAAAGTGATATATCTGATAGTCTTGCTAGTCTCGTCGTTTTTTTGAAATAATATTAAAATAGTTCTTATTGTTAAAATAATTTTTTCTTCGCTTATTTCGATATTTTTAGCATGACAGATTAAGTAGTTTTCTACGAAAAAAACATGTTTTTTGTCTTATAGAGAGAGAATATTATATGCTTTATTTTTCGAAACTTCAATTTTGTATTCACAACATTTTGTCTTATTTGCAATTAAATAGATCGATAACATCCAACATTAATTTAAGAATGTCAATGTGTTAAAATAGAACCTTGAATCATATTTCGAGATCATCGATGGCACCAAGGTCACCATCATTCCCATCACTAATGGGGAACGTTCCATCATCTGTTGTTTTGACTAGACCACTGTATTACTCAATTCCCTAGTATCCAAGAAAGTATATTTTTCACTCCTATCTTTTATTCCAAGGATGGTTCTCATTAATATTGCTAATCCATTCGAGATGTCGATGAACCATGGCGACACTGATTCGTCATTATTCATTGCTGCAAAGAAGCAACTGCTGCTGCGTATTTTTTTCTATAAACATATTACAATTCTATTCTATTACAATTATTTAATTTAATATTATATCTACTTCAATTATTATATTTTATGTAATATTATTAAAAGATTGAAAAAAATTATTTATTCCAAAACTTCTATCCTGTTCTTTATTTTTATTGCTACTTTTTGAGACATATTAAATAAATTGTTATGCAAAGATGTTCTATATATGCTTCATTAAAATATATTAAAATTTATTTAAGCCCATGCTAAATAAAATTAAAATATTAAAACAAAATAATATTAAGAACATATCAAGCAACAGATATCTGTAATTTCCATAAGAAAGAGCAATATTATTATTAAACTTATAATTTGTTGCATTTTTAATTTATTTTTGGATTTAGTTATTTAGAACAAGAACGGCTTGGATATATAAATAACTAAATCCAAATTCAAATAACATGATTTCATGGTGGAAGGAAATCTTAAGTATTCCGTAAAGCATGCATCGTCAGCCGACGCCGCGACTATTACGAGCACACGTAACAGGTGGTCGAGAAGTTACCGGAGCTGTAGGCAAAAGTATTACATCAGCGCGAAAACAACTTGTGATTGTCATATATGTATATATATGTAGATGCGTACGTACACACCATTTTCATGAAACCTGATTTACTGTGACGCGAATCGCAAGGGATGATTTACTGTGCAAGTGAAAAAAGTAAAAAATCTAAAGTTATCCAAGTATAATTGTTTTACAGTTTCTCTGGGTATTTCTTGTAAGACCGTTACTTCTTGTATAAAACCGTTACATAATATAATGCAATATATAGGGAAATGTATTTATATAATACTTTTCAAAATATATCCCAAAAGTCACGTACAGAAAGAAAGGAAAAGGAGGAAAATGATGTTTGATCATTTTTGAATATTCTTTTGGGTGGTTTTGAAATTTGTTGTTGTAACATTTGAATGGACACTAATATCGTTTTTATTTGTTTAGTACATGTATAACCATTCTCGGACTTTTACACAACATAAAAATATTTAACCTTCAGTAATATATAATAATATCGAGAAATCATTATAATAATTATCACGTTGTGCACTTGGCATTAAGTGGTTACTCATCGTAAGGGAAAAACTGTTGAAGAGAGGAAATCATGAATTAAAGAATTAATTATGATAATATTTTGTAATAATTAATACCTTCTCTGCGAGATTATTTAGCCTCGAGGAGACTAAAAATTATTGTGGGCTATATGATAAATATATTTCAGTTATAATAAGTAATTTTACAGATATATCATAATTGTAATTTAAATAAAAATATTATAAATGAATTATATTTCTTTTTTCACCATGACGATTAACTAACACTGATTCGCATATAACGCTCATTATTGTTGCTGCTGCGACTTATGCATGTCTACGTCGGATCTCTTCATAGAGACACTTACATTTCGTCAGTCTGACACAACCGGAACCTCCTCCACTTTTCCAGCGTGGACCGTGGAAACTCCGAGAATGGAACTCGGGCTTTAACTACGAGTTGCAGCACAGATGACATTGACTAGCCTGTTACTCGTCTATATTACCACTTGGTGAAAGTTGACGAAGCGCATCTTCAAGGTCATCGCCTCCGGAGAGTCGTCTTCGCTTGGCGAATGAGATTTTCTGAAATTCGGTGTCGCCAAAATACATCAATTAGAAAGAGATGGTATTGCGATTTCCTTCTTAAAACGACGATAAACGCGATAAACACATACAGATAATATCTTATAACGTGCGAAAAGAACGGGCGGTGTCTTAATTGCCGGGAACGTTAATTGCTCCATTGTGCGTTTCAATTACTCGATACGAGCGGGTAACAGGTTTTGAGCTCGCGCGCGAAACAACATCGATAATAATTTAATAAGACGTTTAGCACAGTTGGTGGCTACTATACAATTCACAATAGTAGATATTGTCGTTTAATGAAATGATTTAGCAGAAAGAGAACACTTTAAGAATATCATTTATGCTTGTGTAGTTATAAAAACATTGAATGAATATCATCGTCAACAACATCATAATATGATTGAATTAAAACTTTAAGATATTAATATCTAAACTGTAACTCTAACTTTCACACATTTTCAGTTAATTGAATTTTATATATTAATAGAAAATAAATTTATGTATGATTAATTAATGCAAAATATGTAATCCTTTTATAAAATTATCAAATTCACAGTATATTCTTTATTCTGCAATGATTTTAAACATTTAATATAATACGAGATACTGAATATAAATAGATTGACATATATGTTTTGTATTCTTAAAATTACATAGAAATATTTTTTAGGTGTGTACCATGAGACAAATATGATACATAAAAACGTATAAAAAAAATTATGAGTTAATTTTTCAAACTTGTATTTAATGTAATTTATATGTGCATTTTATATGTGTTTGTTACATACTATGTCTCTATTGTTAAGGTAGTGCTATTGACTAAAGAAATTTAGCGATTATCATATTGCTGTTTTGTCACAGAAAGAGAATTTCGCCATGTTCAAAAAGACTTTATATTATCATATGAAACGAAACATACGTGCACGGCTATTCATCGCGCTTGAGTTAAAAGAGACTCAAAGAAATGGAAAGTCTTTTTTATCTACTGTTATTGCGACTATCAACGCAATGTATGCTTCATCTTGAATTCATGGTGTGAATAAACACTCCAACGAATGTCCAAACGAAATACACTTTCTAGGCCGGGTATTAATTAACACAAGACTTCTAATAAAGCGATACAGTATCTTGAGATAAACTGGCGAAAACACAATTCACTGACTAAGAAGTTCGAGAATAGCTAGAGAATATCTTACATGACAGATTTACAAAATTTTTAATCTGTAACATATGTGTGCCCTACATTAAAAAATTATTTATAAAAAGAAAGGGAGTTTCATAAAGTTATTAAATATTTTTATTCCTCGAAGATAAAGTATTTAATAATATTTCCTTTCTCTCTTAACTCTAATTAATTTTAACAGAAATTTCATATTTAAACCTTATTTAATAAACTCAAAAATTAAAAGATTGATCACGTAGCTTTGTACAAACATGAAAAAAAGGTAGTTATAAATTACTGATCGCGTAACCGACACCATCGTGCCATGGTATGATTGTGGGAACAAAGAGTTTACTCCAACTGTTATTAGCTGTTAACTTCAACCTATCCTATCATTAAACACATGGAAAAAAAATATAGGTGAACATTGATCGATTGCTCGACCGCTTTAAGTTCGTTCGAATCGATATATCCTCTAACAATCTCATCTTTCTCTCTCGATAGAATTGCATTTTGAAATTTAAATAATTAAAGACAAGTTTTTTTTATTTACGCACTTTTATTTTATACTTATAAATAATTTTTAATAAATAAATAAAGTTATAAAAAATATGCAGTAATGTAGATTTTATTTTCTAACAGTAGTATTCATTTAATTTTATAAATACCGCAATAAAGTTTTAATTAACAGAATCAACTATATATTTTATTCTGATTATTTAATACGTTTATTATTATTTTTTCTTAATTTTTTTAGAAACATTATTGTTCTGAAAATTAATAAACTGTCTGATCATGCAAAATATAATTACAAATACTTAATTAAAAATAATAAAACATCTTGGAGACAGTGTTTTAGAATCTTACACAATAATGACATGTTATTTTTATTACTTACTATGTTAATTAATTATCGTCTGTCGTCCTTTTTCATTATATCCATCTTTTTAAATAAATCTTGAAAACAGACCGGATTTGACGCACGACGAAAGAGAAAAAGAAATATAAAATCGATTTTTTGTTGATTGCGAAGACTTCCACTGTTTCCTTCTCCTTATTCAAGATTATAAGAATCGATCCGCTGGATCTCTAACTCTTAATTATTCGAACTAATTATGACTAAGGTCTCGATCCATCGGAACATCTTGCTGGGTCCTTGTAGCGAAGGGTGGGATGAATCTGCGATCTGGTGGGGACCATTTCTATATAATCGACGGTGAAGGTGCCCGTCTCTTCATATCCTATCAGTGACTACGTTTCTTTAACCGCTGTCTTCCAAGTCTATCCGTATTTTTTTCAAGGGACAAGTGATACAAGGTGAGTGTTGAAATCCGGACGTCGTCCGGAAGGATTGAAATCTGCGATATAATTTCAGTGAGTTCAAATTTCGATGCTGCAAACAAAGAAACTCTTTATAATCATTCATGACAACGAAAATACGATATATTCATATGCACACAGGAAGGTAAAGTATGCTTTTTTTCTATCCACAGCATCGAAAATTGAACTATTATCAAAATTTCATTTCCAAAACTTAATTCAATCTTGAAAAAGATCGCTGTGCATTCTTCAGATTTACATAGATTGAAATATTACCTTTTTTGTGTAAGTATTAGTCGTAGACTTTGATAAACAGAAATTGTTTTTACTTTTTAACTCGTAAATACATCAGTAGTAGATTATAGGAATAACATGAATAGATATAATAAAAGATCAGCTTTGGTGAAAGCGATATTAATTATCATTTTGAGACGGAAAGAAAGAAATGGAAAGAGAGAAACGAAGATGAGTATATGATATAATTCATATTAAATACTCTTCACCTTGCAAAAATTAACAGCATATAAAAAGTAAAATCAATTGTGGAGAAAATATCCATTTAAAAACTTTCTAATATTATTCAAAAGTGTTTCATTTTCAAAATTGTTATAATACAAATTTATATCGGTTTAATATTTCTTGAGATTATTTTTCAACGTTTACCGGAGAAATTTCCAGTCGATGTTAATACGATTTGACGTAACGAATAGATAATTATCAGATCAGCGTTCGTGCATAAAAAAACCGTCTTGCGACTTCGTTAGACGAGACACTCCCTAAGAGAAACTTCTGCTTGATGGAAAGGAACTGTTTGTGTCGGTGAAATGAAATCGCGTACCTGTATGTCAACGCCATTACGTACGAAACTCTCACCGACTGTCTCACAACAATCATAATAAGCCGATGAAATTGTGATATCTGAATATTAATTATGATATCTGAATATTAAATTGATATTTAAATAACTTATTGATTCTTATTATTGTATAAAAATCGCCTGACAGTTTAATTTTAAATACTACTTATAGACATAGTTATTAATTGCTTGTTATTATATCTTGTCTCTTTATTTTGATATCATTTTTAGTAGAAACCTAGGAACAATATTTTAAAGTCATTCTTGGATTCTAAAAGACATATTATAAATTATATTATTACTTAAGATATGCATTAATCAAAACTACGCAATATTTATTTTTACAATAAAAATGATGCAAGTTGTCACAAATTACAAAATTAAGTAGCTCTTTTTGTTGTATATTAATAAAATACAAAAATAAAAATAAAAAACAATATATAACAAAATAACATACTGTTATATATAATAACATTTGTTTATTATTAAATAGATGATGTTGGTGCCGCTGGCCATAGTGCTCCTCGCGGCGTTTGTCAACGCCGAACCGGCGATCAATGAAGCTCGACCGCACAGTAACCGACCTGGAAGATTCTTGTCTCTTCCGATACCGCAAAAGTGCGCAAATCGTAAGTATAAGTACCTTCAGTATACTTCAAGCATTACTCATATTCTACTTATTATGAGCAATGATAGTGCATTGTGAGAGAGAGAGAGAGAAGCTTATCTTCATTTCTCTCAATATTTCAAAGCCTAATTTCATACTCTCTATGCGTTTGATGGATAAATACTCTTATTTACCGTCTATTAAATTATATAAATTAAGGTCGAAACATTAGTTTAATGATCCATCTATGAGATAATTAGTATTATTATTATTCGTGATATAATTTATTACACACATGCCGGAAAAATAAAATACTATTTTCATGTATAAATTGTTGATAGTGGACACAATTGCGCAATTTAAATAACTTGGCCTTAATTTAAATTAGTTCAGTAGTTTATTTAAATTTCTCTCGTCGCATTTCATAATCTGGGACAACTGTTTCCGCGATATATCTTACGACAGTTTTGCGATAATAGACACGGAGCAAATCGTTAAACGGTCTGATTACGCACGGGAACGAGTGCCAAACCGGATTTTCACAGTGGAGGGATCTCCTTGCGTCGTAACACAATGATGCGGCTCAGTCACGAAACGTGCCTCGATTAGATCACCCGCGCGTAAAACGCCCGTAAAACAAGAAACGCAGCGGACTTTCATCGTCGTTCGCTCGCAGAAGGGGCAATCGTGCGTCTCGACGCGCGGCGACTGTCGTGCCGCGTCTCTCAAAGGAATCGAGGTTACAATGCTGATACACGCTAAAGAAGGGGGGACCCCCCTCGCGCAATTTCACGAGCTCTACGAGTTTACTTTTAAAAGCAGACGAGCCACTCTCGGCTCTTGTGCAAGCACGCGCCCCGGGTATTCACTTTTGATCGCCGTGAGTAGGTGGTACCGGCTTGCGTCCACTTGTTACTACCAACAGGTTCCCGATAAAACTGCCTCGCGAACTTTCATGACGATTCTTCATCTCGATGCACACTTTCTCGATGCCACTTGAAGCTCGAAAAGCTAACCAGAGCCTGAACAACGAAGCGAGATACTTGTTATAAAAACGGGTAAACTTAGTAGCAAATTTTGTCAAAATACATTTTGGAAATCAAATACATATTTTGTTAGATTAAAGTGATGTTTATCTATTTATATAATATGAGAGAGAAAGAGAGAGAGAGAGAGAGAGAGAGATTTTCACAATAGTAAAGTAACATGTAATAAAATTGAGAAAGAGATGTATTTTATGATAAGTAATATTATGTTAGTTTAATACAATATATGCAATAAATACCCACTACATTTTGCTACTGTATAATTACAAGAATCGTTTGCTTTCTACTCATTTAAGTAGCAATCTCGTCGGCTAATGGTATTCTGATACAGTCTTGCGGCCTATAGTTCACAAAATGACCGCTTATAACGCAATACCGATGTTAAGTATCACTGAATTAGCGTTGCTTTCGGTCAGTCAATTTCCGCAAGGATGGCTCAACATCGTTGTACACGGCGGATTAATTCAGTAAGATCTTCATTAATGACGTCATGGCAAGGACATCGATGATTATTCAAATGTGATAATATACTCTCTCGCGAGTTGTTAATGCCATCGATCTACAGCCACGAAATATTATAAGCTCATCGAAATAATACCGGTTTCAAAACTGATTAACATCAACCTCAGTCATGATTCCTCGCTCATCTTCTGAACCGTAGTATTGACTATCAATAATACAAGTAGAAAAAAGATGATATGTGAAAAAAGTCAGGCTGGCGACCTTGATTCACTGGCTACGATCGATAATTTTCCATGTCTTCCTGTATTGTGCAACTACGCTTGTAGTGAGGATAAAGAGAAAGAAGACGTACTTCGTCAACGCCGAACGACGTTAGCGCAAACGAGGATTGCCGAGAGAAAACGGATGTTGCCAGTGCGCTAAAGATTCTTCGCGACTGAAGGAAACGAGACGTGCAGGGGTAGAAATGTAGAGCAACGCGTTCGCGAATCAAAGTGCAACAGAGGGGACAGGGAAAGATACGGAATTTCCAAATGGTCGCATTTCCACGGTATTTAATAACGTGAGAGGCACGAGTAGGCCGTGGGAGTGAATCGGCTTTGCCGCAATGGTGCAACGTAATGATGTTCGGATACGACCACAATCACCTAACAACCTAATGATTGCATGCTCGCTCTCCTGGAATGCCCGATCGCAAGCGGGATGGCAAGGATTGGAGCTTGCCGACCGAGTCAATAGTAATCAGATGTAGCGTGATCCTCGCGTTCGCGCCGAGAAAAAGTATGTAATAAGCGTGTCAATGCAGGTGCACGCGCGCCGAAGAATGTACGTACAGTAACGTAATGGAAAACCGACATAAACCTATATTTGCGCGGCGCAGTGAAAAAAGAATGCGAAAAAACACTTAAGCACACATTGCGCACGAACATTGTGAGGCCTATGAAATTTACAATGACATTTCTGAAAGAAGTTCTATAAGAAGTGAGAAATGAGAAGCTCTGGAGTTTCGCATCGTGTAAAAAAATATCATGCATAAGAAACTGCAAAAGTATTATATAGATAAAAAAATTTGATATAAATAATTTGATATATTATTACGCGGGATTCTCGCATCATTCTTTCATTTGGCTTAGCTTACAAACATCACATGTTGAGATCTCGATGTGTCAAATTTTTTAATTAGATAGATCTCTTCGTCCAATTAAGATGGAAAATTAACGGAGCATCGCGATAAATTTTTGTAAGCTTACGGGAATATCGTGAAGCTTTTTAGTAACACAATGAAACATGTATAATGTGTGCGTGTATATCTTATACTCTCAAAGCAAGCGGTAATGACACGCTTGTTGAGTAACACGTGAACAAGTATCGGCCGTGGATATTATATAATACCTAACGGCCGATTAAGCCGGTGTCCGACGGTGCTATTACGGTGAAGATACGCGATTAAGCGGCCGCATGCTTTACCACATTACTCTCGCGCATCTTGTAATTACAGTCGAGGCTGTTAGATACGGTAATTTTATACAATTTTCGAATTTTCTTGTCGAGCCTAGCGCGAAGTGAAAATCTGCCTTATGTGTCAAATCGCCGATACGTGTGGTCTGCGGGGTATTGTTGTAATATATTGCTATGTACAAAGAAACGTAAAGATAGACTTGCGAGCTATACTTATTCCATGATCTCTTATTAACAAGAACACGCAACGTAATAGGGTGCACGGATGATCTTTGATAAATAACAATAATTTGCATTTATTGGACAGTTCTCTTGATTTACACTCAACTCACTCCTTGAAATATTAACATATAATTAGAAGACATATATTAAGATAATTAATATAATTAATTAATAAAACTCATCATATCTTTCGCAAGATGCTACTGTTCGTTTCGTACGCGACGACTTCATCCTGCTATGGTAGATCTCACGATCGACTCAAAAGCGCGATAAGGACGTCCGACATAATTTCGTAAACTCGAAGTGAAAGAAAAAATTGAGGTAGATAATCGCATAAGGTTAATCGACGTATTATACCGCCGTTAATCACAATTGCGCAATGCGACTGACGCCGAATAAAAGACCATTGCTAACAAATCGCCGTTAAATCGCGTTATGACAGTGTGGCTGACCGATCAGCTGTTGCAATCTTACTCGTCGTGAGGTTGACTGACTGACAACTCTACAAAAGGCCGGCGCTACATCGCCACGAAAATGTCAGGAACTGCTTGCGAAATCGGACAACACTCTTCGGAGATTATCCCCCCGCGTGCCGCTTACGCGTGTAACGAGTAGGCACGACTTATTTGTAAAAACGAACATATTTTCGTAATGCGACATTGCTACATGCATATATTACGCATCCACCATTTTCGCGTAATAATGACATTTTTATGGAATAAAGAAAAATTGTCGTTTTCGCTTTTATCAGCGTACTTTGAAATAGATACGAAGACTTACATAAGCATATCGATAAAATTTTGCTAGATATAAAGTAGCATTATTTCCTCATTTTTTAATCGAGACTCTAAATATTAGACTATAAATATTGACTTTAAATAAAAATATCAGACTCAAGTTAAGCATATTTTTGATGAAACACGTAAATCTTGACACACACACACACACACACACACACACACACACACACACACACACACACACACACACACACACACACACACACACATACATGGGAATATGCTCTTTCTGATTGTCATCGTCGAAGAATAAACGTGCCGCATAATAATTGTCTGTTTCTTTTCGTGATCACTAGGCATTTGCCTCACGATAAAGGGAAGAGCACGGGGAAAACCGTTATCTCCATGCAAGACGAGCCGTACCGGGACCCATTGACCCGTTGTGCAAAGAGAAAAAGTTTCACCTTCGCCTGGCAGCTCGTGCGGAGAGCCAGGAGAGTTTCCTTTTCCTTCGCCTCCGCGCTCAAACGTTGTTTATTCACGACTTACTGTCGACCCACTGATCCCGTTCGCGAGCGAAAAATTGATTCCCGACATATTTACTCTTATGGAGTGTCCAATTATGGAAACGATACCATTAACTGTTAAATGTATTGATTATTTGTTTTGCTAGATCATAAATGCGATTTATTATAAACAGTGTAATTAATTACGATAATTAATATTGATAGAATCGGATCTAGACTGGCACGCATCATAAACACAAAAATTTTTACAGCCATAAGTATCAATTTTAGCCCGAAAATTTAAATAGTTATTAAATAAATGTTATATATTTATGTCTCATTGTATATTCTTAGTAATATAACGACACATAAGTTTTTCAAAAAGAAAAACTAAAAATTTTAGAATTATTTATGAATTTAAATTATTATTGGATATACACATACATATATCCGACATTATTCATATTTTACCATTTTTACAATAAAATAATAACGTGAGGTGCAAGAATTTTTTTCCTTTCCAAAGAAATTGCGCTTTCGAACGTTTATCTATTTTTTCCACCTCATAGAAAATGACACGTCATTTCC